GGATGGTGAACAATCTCAGGGACCACTTTTATCGATTTGGAATCTCAGGGACCAAAGTGATGAGTTATGCAAATCTCAGTGACCATTTTGGCGATTTACGCTTTCTTTAATTATCATTTATGAGATTCGAACTTAAAATCTCTCATGCTAATTAATTTGACGTGTATTAATTTATGCATGCTATTTTCTCTATATTATCAGTTCAATTAGGTAGGATGTCCCAAAGAAACATCATTTTCTTTGGCATTGGTGTCAAGTGTCCCATTGTTTTTGTTCGCAGCTAGCAAAAGATGCCCAAATATATCCCACCTCCTTAAATACGATAACTCACAAAAGAGCCAAACCTTCTCCCTAACTTATCGAGCCAACCTTCCTCATCAAGTTTCACGCCCTAACAAATATCCTTCTAAAGATATTTGAACTTTTAGTGGCCCTTTTGGATCTTTTCAAGCATAGCAAATTAGCAAGTTTAAAACATGTACATCTTGCCAGCTATTGTTGGCATTCTCACAAAGTCAAACACTTCTTCCTTTACCAATTTGTGGTTAACGGTTTAAGTGTGACTTGTTGACGCTTATATATGATTTTTGTCTTTTCATCCATCTTAACATGTACAACTATAATCAAGACATGTGTTATAGAAATTCGACTTTAACTTGTCTGATCGTCGTTCCTCAGTGTAATTATAGGTTCTAAATATTATATGAAGTTTTTTTCCTTGTTTTTTTCTTTTTGGTTCGCACTTTAGAACTCATAATTGGGGTATTGCGTTTTGGACTGAACTTCGATAACAAAATATATGGCTTTGGTGTTGATGTTGTAGCCGAAACCAAATGCGACCGTAATACGCAATTGGAGCATCGATTATTTAGGGTTTGGTCAATGCAACCATAATTGGATTATATTATATATAACATATATATATAGTTTTTCAACATTGGTTTGGATTTTATTGGGAAGAGATAATGTAACATCCCACATCGTCCAGAGGAGTGGATCCTGGAAGCTTTATATGTATATTCCCATCTTTACGTAGCACGATATTGTCGCCAGCTTGAGATCATGGGTAGGGTAGTTTTGGAGCCAATCCCTGGCCGGAGGTGTACTGACGAGGACATCGGGCCCCTAAGGGGGGTAGATTGTAACATCCCACATCGCCCAGGGGAGTGGATCTTGTAAGCCTTATATGTATATTCACATCTCTATCTAGCACGAGACCGTTTGGGGGGGGAGTGGATCTTGTAAGCCTTATATGTATATTCACATCTCTATCTAGCACGAGGCCGTTTGGGAGTTCACTGGCTTCGGGTTCCAAAACGGATAATATCGTGCTACGGCGAAGTCATGCCCAGGATGTGATGAGGGCCCGGGTCAGGATGTGACAGATAATGAGATCGAAATGTTATACTTAAATCGAATTCCAATGGCTGATTGAGTGGTCAAATTCTGCATGAACTTGTAAACTTCAAATGTGTGTTTTGCATGACCCTTGCCAGGAGCATTGCATTTGCCCCATAAAATTATAAAGGAAGCAAGTCCAAAATAACTCTATAGGAATATGGAAAAACGTGAAACATTGCACAACGTGGGAAAACCGTAAACGCCCATGACTAGCTAGACAAAACAGCGATGTGAGATTGATATTTCAACGCAGGCTTTTCTGATCGCAGACTCGAAGTTGTCTTTCCCCTTTCATTTTTTTTTCTTTTCCTTTTCTTGTTTGGATTTGAGGAAATACAAAGATAAATGTGTACCAAGATTCTATCGTTTCAGATAAACCACACAATAATTACTTATTAGTACGTATGATAACCACCATTAATAAAACTGAAACTTGAAATTTTCCCTTACAAGTGACGAAAAATACATTAAAATTAGTGCTAGTGAAATGCAAAAGTAGAATGCACAAAAAAAAGAAAGTATTATATTGATCCTTATGGATAAATACTTACGTAACATTCTAGATTATAACCCAACTTGATTTATTTCTTCGATTCCTCCTCGCGCCTAAATCTTAGATTGAGCTGCTCATCATTTTTTTTTATTCCTACTCAAGCATCTATAACGTCGAAATTAAGCTACTGATCATATTCCATTTTACATGATTAATTAATTTGCTCCCTCCATCCATTTTTCTTCACCTTTCCTTTTCATGATGTTTTACTATTGATCTTACAAATTACAAAACTTATGTGGCGCACAATACCAAGTAACTATGAGCTAATCATATCCTTCTTGTGAATGCGGGCGTGCCAACTCGCAATCGAGCTCGGTAAGGCGAGTAGAATAGATATGATGGTGGTGTCAAATATGTTGTTGACTTCTGCATCGAACCAATTATGACCAAGGAAGAAACACATCTCGACCTTTGGTTTTAGAACCTGAAGACAAAGGTTGCCTAAATTACGGCGAAGTTTTGGATCTCCCAGACCAGGTTTGGCTGCCTTGACTATATTCGTAAGGATATAGGTTCGTTGAATTAGTATCAGGCTGTAAGGACACAAGCACTCAAAGGAAATGAACGTTTTTATAATGAAGGTAGTTTGGTCGTCTGAATGTCGAACTGCAAAATGCACTTGAGAGTAACCAATAATAGAACACTCCACTTAGCTGGGAAGCTAATGAAGTGACTTATTTCGGTGAGTAAGTTGAAAACCCTTAACCCGCCGAGACTAGGATATATAATCAACCAACTAGAAGTAATGTTGTTAGTCCAAACTGAAGGTGCTTCTTGATCACTTGGTTCTACGACTCTAGTGCTATTAGTTCAAACTGAAGATGTTGCCAGTTGTCAAAATAGTGTTGTTAGTCCAAATTGAAGTATTGACGGGAAAGTTAGGATAATTAGTGTTTCTCAGGGTTGTGAGAAGGGTTTCGCGTAAAGTGAGGGTTGATGTGTAAAGCGTTTTGAGTTAATTGTTGAATTGAAGAAAGGTTCAATGTTGTAGAGGCTTCTTTATTTATAGATGAAGCTTTTGTGATAAACAAGCATGCCGAGGTAAAGTTTTGATGGGACTGTGTTGGCTTGGCATTTGCTCGAATATTCCTTTATCCCTTTTAACTCGAAACTTCATCTTCATCTAATCTCAGCTTCTTTGATTCTCACCAAGGCTCTGAACCTAGCTCTGTTACGAGATGTATTCATCTTTATTGGGGCACGCATGCATTCTGATCCTTAGGATAATTCGCATTTATCCAATGACCAATTTGATCCCCTAGAAATTTTAATTCATATAGGACTAGACCAGACCACCCACACTTGATCTCTTTACAGTTCTTCTTTCATAAGGACTCAATCGACCTTATTTATGGGCTAACAGCCCATTGACTTAAAGGATGCATACTGGGTCGAGAACTGTAGTCCTCAGGTCCGCCCATCTTAGCCCAAACTATTATTTCACGTCCAAAATTGCCCCCTCGCTTTTGAAACTCTCGGCCATGGACAGTTGGCCTGAAGGTTTTTGAGAAGCAAACATCCTTTAAATTGCCCAATATCTTGCATTAAATACCTCAATCTCAGTTAACACGCTAGCCTCAACTGATACACTTTTCTTTTGCCACGAGTCAGATTTCTACATCGCATCTTTTTTTTTTTTCCGGTCATCTCACGCGCCTTACTCATTCGAACAATTGAGCCGTCGAAAAGTCTCTTCTCGAAACACTTGAACTAAGCCTAATGCTAGGGAGACAAAATTTGGAGACAAAGTTTTGAAAGTTAAAAGACATGGAAGTAGATGATTGATTTATTACTTAAATATTGATAAACATATTTATTCCTATTAGTGACATATCATTTAGTTTGCGAATTTAGTCTCCCTAGCATTACTTCTTAAACTAATACCAACCGTAAGCTTTCAAACCGGATTAATCAATTGAGATTGCTTCGATTCCCCACGACTATTATGATTGAAAGTATGTCCCGAGATTTTCTTGATTTTGAAATTCAAAATTAATGATTAGAGTTTTAATCTTCCCCCTCTTTTTGAAACCCCTAGGCCTTTTCCTTCTTCTTTACGCCCTCAATTTGTTAGGCCTTTTCCTTCTTCTTTACGCCCTCATTTCTTAGAACACTTCGCCATTCCTATTTTCGAAATCCCATTCTCTTCTTTCTTCAATTTCAAAAAACTCCCCAACTCATGTTTTTTTTTTTCAAAAAAAAAAAAAAAAATGGCCAACAATCAATCTCCAATGTCATTCTTTCAACAACTCTCCTGTGAGCTCGAGTGCGTTAAGGAGAACATCGAGCGCCTCACCACCAAAATCTTCAAGTATTAGGACGAAGATGAAATAGAAACCCAGGTTCTTGGTCCCCTGGTTAATGCTCACTACTGGACTCCATGGTTGTGCTAATGAAAAACAACATGCTCCCAACATTCTTCTAGGATGGCGATTGGTCGAAGCGGGGATCTGCGAATAATCCACCAAATAACACTAAGGAAGAAAAAATCAAACACATGAACTCAAATTTTTTACTTATAATTTTTTTTAATAGAATACACAAAGAAACAAGTGATAAACTAATGTGAAAATTATGAATTAATATGGTAATATTTACATCATCCCTGATCCCTCCCCTCTAATGAAAACGGTCCATAAACGGTTTACCATCGTTTTTCATAATAATTGGGTTAGTGAAACTGTTTAATTCACTTTTTTTTCTTTTTTTTTGTCCAAAACCTATTTGATTCACCTTAGTTCTATTTAATTCACCTTTAATTCCATTCAGTTGAGCAAGAAAAAGGGGGGAGGTTGATTGGGACACGTCAGGGTCTAGTCATAATTAGCTAACTTGTCACGATGCCATCGTTTCTTGACAACCATTAGTCCAACGCGGCGGCAATCCACCGAGCCGGTAGTGCCACGGCCTGTCTCTGCTGACTGCACCCCACATCATCATTAATCCAATTAAATATTACACCCGAAACACCATAATCATACCCACCACACATCTCACATGCATACATATCACATACCCATACATAAACATACATAAAAATCTTAGAAAATTCCACGATATCTCAATCAACCCACCTCCCTCCCCTCTTCCTATATATTCTCATCCTCCAAAAATAACATACACCTTCTTGTTTGTTCATCTTATATCCCACACCCACACACCCACACACCCACACCAACAACTACTACACATGGGTGAGGTTAGTAAAAGTAATCAAACTTTGTCATTCTTCAGTTACTAATAGTTTGCTTCCTCTAAATTGTATGTTCTAACGACGGATTTATTTGTCCTTGCAGAAAAAGGAATCCCCGAAGAATGACGGTGAGAAGAAGCCCACCGACGCCGCCCCCAAGAAGGACGACGGTCTGAACATCTTCATTTTCAAGACCGACATCCATTGCGAGGGATGTGCTAAGAAAATCAAACGGGCTGTCAAGAATTTTGAAGGTATGTCAATCACGAATTACCCGCAATTGTATCGATTTCACTTAACAAGTTTTGATCACAATGATAAATTTGAGCTTCTGTGTTCTTATCATTTCTGCCTTCTTAATTTAGAACATTGTATTGTCCAAAAAAAAAAAAAGAGTTCCGAGTTTACCGAGTTCACCAGAATTCAGGCTGCATTGAATGGTTCGTCTCTGAGTTTAATGGAAATTAAAAGGGACCAAAAATAAATAAATATGTATTAAGTTTTGGATAAGATTTGAGCCTTTGTTTATAAAAAAAATAAAAAATAAAAAATAAAAAAGAGCCTTTTTTAGTCGCTGAAGCAAAAGGAAACAGTTCGCACAAATTTGACTTTAATGGTGTACATGCATTTTTCCATTAATTTTAAGCTTGAATTTGTTGGTCTAACAACTACTTACGTAACAAACACGATTTTATTTTGTTAATTGATTTTGGCTAATTAGGTATTAATTTTTTAATTTGTTAGGCGTTGAACAAGTGAAGACGGATAGTGCAGCCAACAAATTGACTGTAACTGGGAAAGTTGATCCCGCCGGACTCAAGGAGAAGCTCGAGCAGAAGATCAAGAAGAAGGTCGACCTGGTTTCTCCTCAGCCCAAAAAAGATGGTGGCGGTGGCGGTGGTGGAGACAAGAAGCCTGCCGCAGATGGAAAGGCTGAGAAAAAGGGTGAAGAGAAAAAGCCAGCTGATAACAAAAAGCCAGCGGATGACAAGAAGGCAGCTGAAGACAAAAAGGCCAAAGAGGCACCCAAAGAGGTAATTCAATGGCATTCACTTATGTAATGTTGAATTAGGCTGTAAATTGACTCAAAACAACTCGAACGTATACATTTTTTAAAAGGGGACTTTAACGAAAAGCACCTGTTACTGTTCACTTTAACGAAAAACCACATTTTTACACTAAAAAGTCAATCCTGGTACTATTCACTTTACCCTTTATTTTGTCCTTATCATTAAAACTTAAAGTTTTCAAGCCCTTTTCATTAGTTTTCCTTTTTTAAAATACATGCCACTTCGAGAATATTCTCAGAAAATAATTCACAGAAAAAATATGGTGGTGAGCAAAAAATTTCCTAGAAAATTTCACTTTAGATCTAACTGGTGCACGTGGCACATTTTTGTTGACTGGGAATTGTTCAGTCAAAATAGTGAATTTTTGGGTGCATTAATGTTTGTTTTTCGTGGAAACCCAGGTTTTATATATTAATTTTGTTGTTAAATTTGTTTATTTTTTGTTGGGTGGTTTCAGAGTGCTGTGGTGTTGAAGATCAGATTGCATTGTGATGGTTGCATGCAGAAGATGAAGAGTAAAATCTCCAAGTTTAAAGGTCAGCCAGATTCCAATCACTTCTCAGACTTTTCATGACTTGAATAATAAAATATAGAATTGGGATTATATTAATTTAATAAAGAATGATGCAAGCACACCCCTGGCACCACGCTAGTAAATTTCAATATTATTTTAGTAGATTTCGTAAAATGACTAGTCTTAGTCAAAATTCATAGAAAATTAAATCGTAACGATACTTTTATCCTTAAAAGTTAATATGAAATTAGCTGTAAACTTAAATACTTAATATTCAAGTATTTTGTTTACAACATTTGAGTTTTATATGCACTTGCTCGCCGTTTTAAAAATTTCAGGAAGACTTTGTGATCAATTTTAAAATTTTTGTGCTAGAGCTTATTATTTCTTTACCAAAAAAATTGTAAATAATCAGGAGCAAATTTGTCATTCTAGTTATCTAACAAACAAGTGGATTATTATGGGGGTTGGCAGGTGTTAACAATGTGAGCTTTGACGCATCCAAGGACCTAGTAACGGTGAAGGGCTTCATGGACGTAAAGGAACTAGTACCTTACCTCAAGGAGAAGTTCCGGAGGGCCGTGGAAGTGGTCCCACCCAAGAAAGATGACAGCGGAGCCGCCGACAAGAAACCAAAAGACGGCGGCGGGGACAAGAAGGAAAAAGAAGGTGCAGGAGGTGATAAGAAGGAGAAAGAAGGAGGTGGTGAGAAGAAAGATAAAGCAGTCGCAGCAGGCGACGGAGAAAAGAAAGAAGTTGTCGCGGCCGCAGGCGGCGGAGGAGGAGGAGGCGCCCCGAAGATGGAGATGAGCAAGATGGAATATAATGGGTACCCTTACCCACCTCCTTCTTACTATTGGTACGACGAAGGGCACGTTTACAACCACAACAAGTTTGTAATGGAGGCTCAAGCGCACCAAGCGCACATTAGCCAAGGGTCGTCTAGCCACGGCTACGCCGTGCCGATGGAACACTACCCTGCGCCGCAGATGTTCAGCGACGAAAATCCAAACGGTTGTTCGGTGATGTAGGGTGCGGAACCGATCGAGCGTTGGTTGGTCGATTAATATTCTTTGTCAAGAAAGATATTAAAACTGTAAATATTAAGTAAAGTTTAATAGAAGTAAATACAAGGTTTACTTTTGAGTAGGAATTGATGGGAATTTTGGCCTTTATCACACGATGTCGTAAGGTTTGCCGGCCAGATGTGGAAGCCGGTTCAGATTGTTGGGTTTGGTTATTGGTGGGGTTTAATATAAATATTCTGCTAATTCTTTATTATATTGCACTGGATCGGTCGATGGTTTAGCTTTGTGGCACAGACGAGGCCACTTGATGCTCTTGTTGATTTCACTGGATTAATTATAATCTATATATTTAATAATCTGTCGTTGTTAAGTTTGTGTCCTCTTTTAATCATCAGAATTATCATATTTTGTTTCACATCATTAATACATAGTTTTTTAAGAGAATCGATATTATTATTTGATATATTCAAACTCAGAGGGAAATTGAAATTAAAAATGAAATGGAAAGTGTTAAAGGACTATGCGAGACAAAATAAAAATAATTACGTAGCATAATATTTATCTACAGACTAATTACTTCGAATGAAAATTGTCTTGTGGTGAAATATTTTGATAAAGAAAAAGTTGTGCAGATGAATATCATTATCTTCCATACCTATGTTCCAATTATAAAGTCGTTAAACTTTACATCACTTTATAGGTTTAACATTTCTTTCTTGTTGGCATGCAGAAATGAAAAAGCCAAAAATGTACACGTAGTTGAATTGTATATCTTAAATGTATTCCCCTTTTTGGTCACATATTCAAAACTTTAAGTGGGATTAGGTGAGAGGGAAAATACTTTGCTCAAATAATTCCTTCTTGAATGACGCCGTGTATAAATGTTATAATCGAAAGAGAATAAATTTGTCGGTATCTAAACATTATCTTTAGATCTCTGAAAGAATGGACTACCGTGATGAAGCTAACAGCTGGTCCCCCTACAAAAAGAAAAAAAAAAGAGGAAAGCATCATCTCTAGATTAATTCAATCAATGAAAAACACTTAGTCATAAACAAGTCCCAAAAAATCGACAATTATGGTCAAAATAAACATTCTCATAACAAGCCATTAACTTGTTTGGTTTCTATAGATGACCAGCCGGTTTTCAATTCAAATATTTTAAAAGATAATATTTAAATGATGATAAAAAAAAAATAATCAGTTTTTGACTATGACATTTTGTTGACCTTAAAAATTACCAAGCCTATGTGGCGTGTAGACCGAGTAACTAATGAGCTAACTACATCCTTCGGTTGTATGCAGGTGTGCCAACTCGTCGGCCGAGCTCAGTCGAGGAGTAAAATATGTTGATGTTGTGTTGAGTGCGCTATTGACTTCTTAATCTTGCGACTACGGCCGAGGAAGGAGCATGTCTCGGCCTTCGGGTTTTAGAGCCTGAAGACAAGGCTGCTAGTCTTGCGAAGTTCACGGATCGTTGGCACCATGTTCGGTCACGGTGACTATATTCGTGAGAGTATAAGCATGCTGAACTGGCTTCAAACTATATCGACACAAGTACTCAAAGGAAATATATGTCTTGATGGTAAACATGGTTCGACCGTCAGAATGCCGAACTCTAAACCCTACTTGTGAATAACCAATCATAAACAACTCGTTGTTCAATGTGCCGAGCCCAGTAATTTGTAGTACCTTACTTTGCCGAGAAGGCTAATGAGATGACCTCTACCAATAAGGATTCGAAAATCATTCTCGACCGAGACTTGGATATATAACCAGTCAGCCTCGACGTAGTTTATCCAAACTGATTCTACAGCAGCAATGCCTCGACGTACCTTACTTTGCGGTCGACTGATTCTACAGCAGCAATGCTGTTTATCCAAACTGAAGATGTGTTGGTGGAAAAAGAAAATAAAAATCTCAAGGTTGTTGAGAGGTTTGCGTAGAGCGAGGGGTTGCGCAGGGCAGTTTGTGTGTTGAATTGGAGACAGCTGAATGTGTATTCATCATCTATATTTATAGGAGCGAACCTACTTTTGGCCGAGTTAAAACCTTACCTAGACTAGGACTCCTCATCCTGATCTAACTAAGACTCGACCAATCCTACTTTAATTAGGACTTTGAACACATCTCCACAACGAACCAAATTCTTTTTGTGTTCCTTAGTGCCTTTAGCTTTAACACTCCTGGGGGTTTAATGATTCATCCTTCATCTTTATCCAAATCAATCCTTCTCACAAAGGGACTTGATCGACAAAAAACTAGGCAACTCCCAGTACCCAGCCGGCTCATGATCCCCCTTATGACCATTGGATCAAGAGTCTCGGCCCATTTGTTACCTTTGGCCTAAAACATCGTTTTGGACCCAAACACATTTATACAAAAAATTATGTCACGTTGTTACTGAACAAGGAGGAAGACCATAAGGTCAACACATGGCTTTTCATTACCGTTCTTGAACGGGGAGATCAAATTTCTAAATTAAATTTTATAAATCAAATAATGTGGATATTAATGATTGGATTATTATTTAAGTGATGATTAACGTGCTTATTTTCTATTGGTGACACATCATTTGGTTTGCAAATTTGATTTAAAACATTATCCGATTTTAGATAATATCTTATTTTTCGTTTTTGCCATAAAATAGTTGGCCTTTTGTTTTTCCGGCCTTTGAAACTTTGAATAGATATATATGAATGAACTCCGGCCTTGGCTATATCTATCTATCTATATATATATATGTGTATATATATATATATATATATTTAACAAATGATATTATCTACACTAAGGAGGTGGAAGAGTTGGCTAAGTCTCACAATGGGCGAGCCCTAATAATGTGGTTCAAATTCGCCTTTGGCCAGAATCAAACCTAAGACCTCTCACTTACAAGTGAAGATAAATATCACTAAATTGTAGTACTAAGTGGTTGATAATGTCCCTAACTTGATCATTACCACAATCCATAAAGTATGAAATTTTATCACAAAATGTCTCGATTTGGCAAGAAGATAGATCACCCATTAAGAAAGATGTGTTGGAGGCACCTTGGCCTTGAAAATATTGATGCATAGGTTCCAAGTCAAAATCCCGTGGCACTGCCTTTTCGTTGCAATAAAAAGCTAAGCACCTCTATGTATGCACATAGTGAAGGTTTAACTCAATTTTTTATTGTCAACAAAAATATAAAAAATTAGGAGCTCAATATTTTGGTCGACTCGAGCATTATAATAGTCAAGGATCACATATTAGTGACCCTAAAATTTGGTTTACAAAAGTGTAAGATGGAACTGATGAAGTGTTGGGAACTTGGGAGGTGCAAACCCTGAGAAGATAGCAATCTAAATTAAAGAAACAAAATAAGGTTATAAATATGATATAGGTGTAATGTCGGCCAAAACAAACATTATTGTTGATGACATTGCTACAGTTCGGATACTTTAATTCTCAATAGGAACACCTTCTTTTTATGTGGCACCTACTCTGCGTGGTGTCGTTCTTTTCATTTCATATTAATAAATGTTCACATACAAAATGAAATAGCCTATATCAATCTTATAGCATATTTTAAAAATCATTCCAAACTTAGAAGGAGTAAAATATAGGGTTCTTTAGATATAGACCATTGCAACTCTTATTTACTAGATAAAAATTCACATAATTCTAAACATCCAAATAAAACCCAAATTTGAAAAAGATTGCCAAGTAAAAAAGTAATTGACCTATTATGATAAAATATTTACAACTTGTGCCACAATATTCAAATCAAATCAATAAATGTTATTACTCACCTTAATTATAATGAACGAATAATTATTGCATATACTATTACCCCTAACACACACACACACACATATATATATATATATATATATATATATATATGCACGTACACACGTCAAAAGCATATAGTACTACTATATGTTCAATAACATGTAATTTACCAATATGTACTACTATACGTTCAAATATATATATGCATAATACTAACATATATGTTAAAAAAATATTATATGTAATTAATGAACCTATATGTAAATTTATGAATAGCAAATAATATATATTTTGTAGGTAAATTAATAATGAATCAAATAACATTCCTTCGTTTTGTAGGTAACTTATTTTTCATATATTATTACATATATTTGACACATTTTATTATTATAAGATATATACAAATAATAGGTAAATTAACTTCGAATCAAATAACCTTGCTTTATTTTATAAGTAATTTAATTTTAAATCAAATAGCGTTCTTTTGTTTATATATTTGTCACATTTTATCATTATGTATATATAATAGGTAAATTAGTATTAAATTAAATAAATATTTTTTTATTATGTAGGTAAATTATTTTGCTTGTATTTTTCATATATTAGATTTGTTATTATGTAGGTAAATTAATTTTCATGTATTTTACATATATTGGGTAAATTATTATGTTTTTAAAGCAATCTTTAATAGTAGGTGCACTATTTGAATTAAATGTTTTTTTTTTGTAGGTAAATTATTTTGCATGAATTTTACATATATTAGGCATATATATATATATATATATATATATATATATATGTGCGTGTGTGTGTGAAATAATTTAACTAGATTAATATGTAATTATTGACTTAATTAAGCATGTTTAATAAGGAAAAGGATCCTCGCTAGATCCTTTTCCTGGGGATCCTAGAGACTTCACGATCATGATCGTTCATTGTATATCGTGCTGTCAGTTTTCGTTAGATCCTATTTATATTTAATTTTAAATTTTAAATTTTGAAATGATTTCTCACCGCACGATGAACGGCCACGATCACGGGATCCCTAGGATCCCCAAAAAAAGAATGCGGCAAGAATCCTTTTCCGTATAATAACATATACTGAAAATATAACTTTAGCCCATAAAACTTAATTTTCTCGACGTAAAACCCAACATAAGTTTTTTACTTGAATAAAACCCATTAACTACATTCTATATCAGCAAATTCATTAATTATGTTTGACTTCACACATTTAAAAATTTCGAATGCCTATCATACATTATGTAATCACATATATTATATAATGTTATTTGATTCATTATTAATTTACCTACAAAATATATATTATTTTCTATTCATAAATTTACATATAGGTTCATTAATTACATATAATATTTTTTTTATATATATGTTAGTACTGTGCATATATATATTTGAACGTATAGTAGTACATATTGGTAAATTACATATTATTGAACATATAGTAGTACTATATACTTTTGACGTGTGTATGTGCATATATATATATATATATATGTTAGGGGTAATAGTATATGCAATAATTATTCGTTCATTATAATTAAGGTGAGTAATAACATTTATTGATTT